GGGGGCTTAGTGCCTTCCAAGAAAAAGGAAATCATATGTAAATGATGTAGATCATATGCAAATGAAGGCTTTGTGAGGGAGGGGAGCCCAGTGTATCAGCGGGGCTGGCCAGAAGGTTGGTGGCCCTGGGGGAGGGGATCTTCTGCCCCAGGCCTGGGCAGAGCCTGGTTCTTGCCCCAGAAACCCCAGCTGCCTTGGCAGCCCTGTGGGGTGGGAGAAGCAGTGAGCTCATAGCACAGCTGGAGGGGAGGGCAGTGTGTGTTGAGAACTAATGGGTTGGTGCCCTGTCCGGCTCGGCGGCACAGGGCCCCAGCTCCATTGTCTGGCCCAGGTGACACAGCTGAGCCTATGGGTCCTTCTGAGTGGGAATGATGTAGGGGAGATAAGGTGAGGCCAGAAGCAAGGGCAGCTGGAGTCAGAAAGCAGAGGCACACTCTTCTGCACAGGTGCTGTCTGGCCAGCCAGAAATGGGATAATTCTGGATTTTGAGGCAAAGCTGGGCCTATGTCACCACTTTGAGCCTTGGATCCCTTTCATCCCAGCATCCCTTCCCTGTTCTCAGAATAGGGTCAGCTGTGTACCAACCTTCCCGAGTTTGCTCTTCTGTTCACTGACAGGAGTCAAGATTGGTGCTGGTGGAGTTGGGTATGGACTCAGGCACCTCCAACTCTTCTTCCCCACAGGAATTGGGTGCTGTGCCCGGGAGGTGCTGGTCCCTAAGGGGCCCCTGTACCGTATTGCTGGCACCACTGTCTTCATCCCCTGCAATGTGAGTGGCTACGAGGGCCCTGCCCAGCAAGACTTCGAGTGGTTCCTGTACAGGTCTGAGGCCCCAGAGGTTGCACTGAGCATAATCAGTACAAGAGATGCCCAGTTCTCCTATGCCGTGTTTGCGCCCCGAGTGGCGGCTGGTGAGGTGCAGGTGCAGCGTCTCCAGGGTGATGCCGTGATGCTCAGGATTGCCCACCTGCAGGCCCAGGATGCAGGCGTTTATGAGTGTTACACTCCTTCCACGGATGCCCGCTACCTGGGCAGCTACAGCGGCAAGGTGGAGCTGAGAGGTACCGGACCCTGGGTTTGTGTGGGCCACAGTTGCTTTTGGGGCAGAAATCGGAATTGGGGGCTGACTACCCTAAAGTCTTTCCCCAAAGTCACCTGATGAGTCAGTGCTGGTGTGAGACCAAACACAGATGTGTTTCTTGCAGTCACTGTTGCTTGGTTATCAGGCTGTCTCTTGGGAGAAGAGGAAATGTCCCCATGCTGGCCAGTCTCAGAAAATGAGGAAGGCTGTTCTGGAAGGCCAGGACCCAGAAGTAGGGTGGGGACAGTAGCAATAGGGTAAAAAGTTAGACTATGTGACATTCCCAGTCCAGTTAATCTTCTGAGGAGGAAGGCAAAGCTACTTTTCTGAGTATCAGACAGGAGCCAGTGTCAAACAGAAGGGTGAAAGGCGATGGGCTGGTTTGTACAATTCAACAACTGTTTATTGAGCGCCTTGGTGTGCCCAGCATGGTAGCGCTGCTGAGTTCCAGGGGAAGTGATACAACTGCAGTCTCTGCCCTCTTTGAGCAGAGTCTGTTCCAGAAACAGGAGCAGGCTGCCAGCTCCCAGCCCTCCCTCATTCTGACTGTCCTCTCCAGTTCTTTCAGATACACTGCAGGTATCTCCTGCACCCCCTGGGCCCCGAGGCCGCCAGGCCCCAACCTCGCCCCCACGCCTGACGGTGTACGAGGGACAGGAGCTGGCCCTGGGCTGCCTGGCACGGACAAGCACACAGGAGCACACACACCTGGCTGTGTCCTTTGGGCGAGCTGTGCCTGAAGCACCAGTGGGCCGAGCGACGCTGCAGGAAGTGGTGGGACTGCGGTCTGACCTGGCTGTAGAGGCTGGGGGTCCCTATGCCGAGCGCCTGACTGCCGGGGAGCTGTATCTGAGCAAGGGAGGGACTGATCGGTACCGCATGGTGGTGGGAGGCACCCAGGCTGGGGACGCAGGCACCTACCACTGTACTGCTGCGGAGTGGATTCAGGATCCTGATGGCAGCTGGGCCCAGATTGCAGAGAAACGGGCCGTCCTGGCCCAAGTGGACGTGCAGACGTTGTGTGAGTGCCACACATCCTGCTGTGGGAACTGGGAGGAGGTGTCTCAGTGGGCACTTTGGCCACTAGGGGCCCTAGATAGTCATTGCTGGACTCCAGGGAACCCATTTCCATAGAGCGAGCAGTCCCAAGCATACTGCTTCCCTCTCCCTGTAACCATGACTGGTTTTGTCAACCTAGAAATTGGGAGCAGAGAGAGGAAAGCCATGATTGCAGGGTGAGATTCAGGCCCCTGGGTGGGGAAAGGGTCACATATGGCGAAGGGCAGGCAGGAGCCTCTAAATTGCCACCAGTAAGAAAGGAATCATAGGTGGGGAACCGGGTCCTCTGCCCCTTTCCCCCATGGTCTTCCTCTTCTGTGTTTTAGCCAGCCAGCTGGCGGTGACAGTGGGCCCTGGTGAGCGCCGGATCGGCCCAGGGGAACCTTTGGAACTGCTGTGCAATGTGTCTGGGGCCCTGCCCCCACAGGGCCGCCACGCTGCATACTCTGTGGGTTGGGAAATGGCACCCGCAGGAGCACCTGGCCCTGGCCGCCTGGTAGCCCAGCTGGACACAGAAGGCGTGGGTAGTCTGGGCCCTGGCTACGAGGGCCGGCACATTGCTATGGAGAAGGTGGCGTCTAGAACCTACCGTCTACGGCTGGAGGCTGCCAGGCCTGGGGACGCAGGCACCTACCGCTGCCTGGCCAAGGCCTACGTTCGAGGGTCTGGGACCCGGCTTCGTGAAGCAGCCAGTGCCCGCTCTCGTCCGCTTCCCGTGCACGTGCGGGAGGAAGGTGAGAGGGACTGGAACCTGGTGGGGTTCCAGGCTTGCAGAACGCTTTCTGTGTCTGTGTCCCCTTCTCCCTCTCCACCAGCTGCTTCCATGCCAGTTGCCTGCTTCATCAGGATTGGGGGACTAGCCTGAGCTTCCGGGGGATTATCCAGGCAGTGGCCCTCACCTCATGACCTCTGCCTCTCATCCTGTGACTCTTGCCCGCTCTTCTGCAGGTGTGGTGCTGGAGGCTGTAGCACAGCTAACAGGGGGCACGGTATACCGAGGAGAGACCGCCTCACTATTGTGCAACATCTCTGTGCGCGGTGGTCCCCCTGGGCTGCGACTGGCTGCCAGCTGGTGGGTGGAGCGGCAGCAGGAAGACGGGGAGCAGAGCTCTGCCCCTGCCCAGCTGGTGGGCGGCATGAACCAGGAAGGTGTGGCAGAGCTGGGAGTCCGGCCAGGAGGAGGTCCAGTCAGTGTGGAGCTGGTGGCGCCTCGAACCCATCGGCTAAGACTGCATAGCTTGGGGCCAGAAGATGAAGGAGTGTACCACTGTGCCCCCAGCGCCTGGGTGCAACATGCCGACTACAGCTGGTACCAGGCAGGCAGCACCCGCTCGGGACCGGTTACTGTCTACCCCTACACGCATGGTGAGTGACTCCCACTTTCCACCTCCCTAGCCCCTGGCCACAGTCCCATCTGCCCATACTTCTCCTCATGTCTGTTAATGGGAACAGCCCCCCAGTGCCCAGCCACCAGCAGGTATGGACTTGAGCACTGAGAGGGCAGCTGCTGGGCAGGGTTGGCTGTGCATGGACGATGGGTCCAGTATCCCGAAGGGAGGAGAGTGCTGGGCTGGGATCGAGTGTGAGAGCAGGTGGAGGATGATGCCCTTATTTTTTTACCTAGCTCTAGATACCCTGTTTGTGCCCATGTTGGTGGGTATGGGTTTGGCCCTAGTCACGGGTGCCATCGTCCTTGCCACTATCACCTGCTGCTTCATGAAGAGGCTGAGGAAGCGGTGATCCTTCGCTCTGCAGGTAAGGACCCCCAGCTTTACCCCGCCCCTCACTGGCTTCCCCAAACCTTCCAGAGCTGCTCCTTCCTAGGGCCTCTCAGAGGAGGGCAGTCAGCTCGGCTCTGCAGGGACCTGCCTGTCACAGGCTGAGGGCCAGGAGCGAGTCCTGCTTGCTCAGAGCTCTGTCCTCACTCCACTCTGTCTCTCAGTTCTTGCAGGTGCCGACTGTCTTCCGGCCACCTCTGAGCCCTCCTCTGGTTGCCTGTGTACCCCTCCCTCTGTCCATCCTTCCTTTAATTTATTTGACCTGCACCTACCCAGGGTGAGAGACTCCCCCTCTCTTCCCTCCCAAACTTCTCTCTGGCCTTCTGTTCTTGCTCACACCCATCCTACGGGAAGGCCATTCCCCATCCTCGAACTAGTTTTTCTAAAATGTGAATAAACTTGTTTTATAAAATCCAGGCCTGGTTGTGTCTTCCTGTACCACGAGGCTGTAAAAGGCTGGGGTATGCAGTCGGTAGATTGTGGGGGGAGGGGTCTGACAACCTATGCTGAACAGCCCAGGCCTCTTCCCAATCATAACACCATCTGGCCTCCCTGAGCCTTGCCACCCACCCCAGGAGGGGCGCCTGGGTCCCATCTGCCACCTGAGTCGTCACCACTGAGGCAACTCCTAATAGGGCTCCTATTTAAGGAGGGGAGTGTAGGAAGGAAGAGTGGGCTGCAGCTGAGCTTGGTCCCTGCCTCCTTACGCAGCCCTTTCCTATAGTACGGGGCAGGGACTTCCAAGGCCAGTGTCCTTTGTGAGTCCCCAGACTTGCCCACACTCCCCTGCCTGTCTCATTCTGGTTGGGCTAGTCTGCAGTCTGACTCCTTCCATCAGGCCCTGGGGCCTCAGTCTTTTTCCTCCTGACCTTAATTATTCTGTCTGACAGCAACAGGATAGGAGCCCCAGAACTCAGCCTCCTGGGTGGCAGGGAAAAGAGCAGTCGGGAAGGGCCTGTGTCTGCTGCACCCACAGAAATGAGGCACCTGCACACACCTCCCCCATAGGCTTCACCTATGGATTTTCTGGTCCTGAAATTCTCAGTTGTTCTGCACCTTAAGAGGCATCCAGTCTACCCTCCTTCAATTCAACTATTTAACATTTATTGAGTTTTACTAAGTCATTTTTACAGATGTGGAAACTGAGGCCCAGTGACCTGTGTGACTTGCTCAGAGTCATGCAGCTCATCAGTGACACTCAGTATTGGCACTACAGCCCCAGTCTCCTGACTGCACTGTACAGTGGTGCCCTGAGCAGTGACAGAGGCGAGGACAGGTGTGGCAGCATCTCAGTGACTTCTGGGTAGGAGGGAGCCTGCTGTCGCCTCAGTTTCTCCATCTGTTCAGTTGCAGCAGCTCCAGTGCTAAATGAGTGTGTGTGGGAACCAAGCAGCTACCCTCCTGTCCAGACTCCATCTGTTTCACTGAATTAACCCCGGATCACTCCCCATGCCCTACCCCACATCTGTTGGGGGAACAGCAGATGCTGGCTTTCAGGGACCCTGGCTTTGACTGCCTGTGACCCAGGTAGCCTCAGGACCTGAGGTGGAAAGACATCCCTGCCTGGACTTAAGGGAAGGGGCACAGGCTTGGGTCCTTTAAATGACTGCAAACCGGGGTGACCCCTTTTCTCTTGGGAGACACACAGTGCCCCACAGGGTCCCCGCCTCCTAGCCTGGAATAGGACCGACTCAGGTGCCGGCCTCCGCCAAGCAGACTCTTTATTTGAGGATGGAATGGGGACTAGCAGGGCTGGAAGAACAGAGGGCCTGCCTGGGCCACTAGAGGACATGCTCCCCTGGGCTGCACTTCCCCCAGGAGGCCAACCTCAGGTCCTCTAACCAGTCCACTGTCCGCTCCCTCACACTGCCCTCCCTATGTCATCCTCGGATGACTATGCGTCTCCAGGCGTCTCTGGCTCAGTGACGCAGAAAGCAGGCCACAGACCCCCCAGGTCTGCACTGCTTTTCTCTCTTAGTCACTCCTGCATCTTCAGTCCTCCAAGCTCTTCCTGCTTGTCTGCTCCCTGAGGGTCCTCACATGTCCCACTGCGATGTGGTCCCTAGTCTAGTAGCGTCAGCATGAGTTGGGAACTTGTTAGACATGCCAATTTCTGGTTTCCACCTGACCTATTGAGTCAACCCCGGGAGTGGGGCCCAGTGATCTGTGTTTTAACAAGCTCTCCAGGTGATTCTGTACACAGCAGTTTTACAGCTGCAGGCTTTCATCATTCCCCTGCCTTACTCAACCCATGGTGTTCTGATTTCCAGACTGCTCCCAGCTCCTGCTCCAAGAGATTGCACAGCTTCTCAGTGTGAACTGGACCCCATCCAATGGCCACAGGCATTTTCCTGTTCTCCTCGTGTGCTCTGGGTTCCAGTATTAGGGGCAGGTCAGTGAGTGTCCACTCTACTTGATATCCAAGCAGTGATCTGAATGATCCTCCCCACTGTCCCCCAAGGACAAACTGCTTTCCCGAGTTTCCCATCTGCCCCCAGAACCCACCTTCTAGATCTTACTCCTTGCCCTTCTTTGCATTAGAACCTCTCTCTCCCCTCCTGCTTCTGCAGTGTTACCAATAAGACCTCACTCCACCAAATAGCCATCCCTTGCTCAGGGCCCCAGTGCTGGCATCTGCTCCTGCTGCCTGTAACCCTGCATCCCAAGGATTAAGGTCACTGACACTTTTCCAAGCTCCCTTGCAACGCTTTCTTCTGGTGAGCCTGTCACTGTGGGAGTGTGGAGGAGGGAGGACTCTCCTCATCTGGGCCCACTTCACGCAGTCTTCTCTCTGGTTCAGCTTGGGCCACTGCGTCCAATTAGGTGGGCCACACGCAGGGTGGCTGGCTGAGGAAGTGAATAGGAACTGTTCCCCAAGTCATGCATCTGACCTGGGGGTGCACTACTTGGAGGAAAAGGGTACCCACCTTTCTAGAATCTGCACACAGGTGTGCTTCAGGTATCCACAGCCCATTGACCTCTCCATTAGCCACCACCTTCCCATCCAGTCCCCGAAAGTTCATTCTTCTGATGGTCCATCCACCCCATGAACAGATGTGAAGGTCAAACACAGACAGGTTCACCCTTCCCTGCCCTCCATTCTTCTCCAACCCGGCCCCTCCATTCACACTGGATTCTAGACTCAAGGTCCTCAGGAGGCCTCTCCATTCCCTGGGACCTTGCCTGCTCCTTCCTCTTCTACCTCCTCTACCCAGCTCCCCATGTACCTGTGTCTGGCCCCCTGTCTGCCACAGGGGTCTGGAGGAAACCGGTCACACCTTGGACTCATTCTCTGGGGGTGGCAGGCAGCCGTTCTGCTCCTTGTCATCCCCGGCTTCCCCACCTGCGCCCTCCCCGGCTCCCTCCTCCTCCACCTTCTCATCCAGCCGGCTAGGGATGGACCAGTACAGATGGGCATCAAGGCGCGCTGCAGCCTCTGCCAGTTCCCGGGCACTGCATGAAGGTGTGGGCACCTCAAAGGTCTCATGGAAGCTGGCATAGTCCACCTCGTAGAAGCCATCCTCCAGGGTCAGCACTGACGTAAAGCGGTGGCCCCATAGCACCTCGTCCACCAGATAGGAGCTCCGAGCTTGGCACGTCATCCCTGGGGGGCAGGGGGAATACATCAGTGGGGTCCTAGTCCCAGGTGTGGCTCTCCTCCCCCTCAGACCAAAGCCCTGTTCCCAGCACCCTTCCCCAACCCCTTCCCAAGGACCCCCTTGGGTCCAGCCTTTTTTTTGCCTGTTCTTGCTTAGTTCCTTCACCTCTTTTCCGCTTGCTTCTCCTCTCCTTCACTGATGTCAGAGAAACTTAACCTTGAAAGAATCATCTCATCCAGTTTTCCACTCCACAGAGGGCACTTACTGGAACATTCCCAATAGTGGGTATCTAGCTTGTCCTTGGTTCCCTCCTAGGACTGAGAGCTCACCACCTTATAAGGAACCCACTCCTTTATGTGATGGCTTTAATATGCAGGTCATTCTTTTTTTATACAAGCTGAATAAAATCTGCCTCCTGGGATATCCACTCATGACATTTCCTTTCCACTTGACACCCCTTTGGGTGTCTGAAAACAGTAGTCTCAGTTTCCTTACATCTTCATCTCTGTGACTGGAATATCCCTGCCTTTTCCTCAATGGACCTGGCTTCTACAAATTTGACCTCCTTCACTGCAAACCCCTAGGTGCTCTTTCTCCCACTGTGACCCGATCCCCATGTAAGAAAGGGCTCACCATCCCTTGCTCCTGGTCAGTGTGCTTAATGAATTGGGCCCGTGACTACATTACATAAACGCTTTTGGAAGCTGCAGCACATTGCTACGACATCAAGCCCATGGCCAACTAAAAAGCCTCAGTTCTTTTTTTCACCAAAGCTCTTCCATGCTGTGCTTACATAAGTGATTTTTTTAAGCCTAAATGTAGAATTTTATATTTATTCCTTTTAAAATGTCATCTTGTTGGGTTTTGGCTCATTATTCTTGCTTTTCAAAAGCATTCTCAATCCCAAAATATTACCATGCTTTCCAGCTTTATCTCTTCCGAAAAATCAGATGTTTGCATCCTACCCCATCCTCCCTAGTTCCGCAGGCCTGTGTCCTGTCCATCCTGTTAGGTGCTGCATCCCAAGGCCAGGCCATTGTCCTACCCATGGGCCACTCCACAAACCCGGTATCTACCTCGGAATAAATGTGGAGGGGTTGTAGAAGAGCGACCCCCAGCTAACCAGAGACTGAATCTGACACTGAAAGGGCATCCCTCAGACATTGTGGGGACAGTGGTATTCTTTGCTGAAGCCTGGAATAAATAGGAAGAATGCAGGGGGTGGTTGTGGGAAAAAGAGGAGTAAGGGAGGGAGGAGAAGAGGGAGTGGGGCTGGGAGGCAGAGAGGAAGGGGCCTGCGGACAAAAGAATAAGAAGGCAGAGCAGGAACCCCCTTGAAAGGAGGGGGCCTGCCTGAGGTACTGGCAAAAAAGGTGCAATAGGGGGCTGGGGATTTAGCTCAGCGGCATAAGCGCCTGCCTTCCAAGTGTGTGGCCTGCCTTGCAAGTGTGTGGTCGTGAGTTCGATTCCCAGTACCGATAAAAGAGAAAAAGACCAAAAAAAAAAAAAAAAAAAAAGTGCAATAGCTGGAAGAGACAGGAAGCACAGGGGTGAGTGGGGAAGAGGGAAGAACTAGGGAGAGCCCAGTGCGAGTGAAGGAGGAACGGGAGCACTGAGGGGGTACGGGGGAGGTGTGGTGGCGGTGCAATGGGGTCAGCTTGCAATGACCACGGAAGCAGCAGCAGCTCTACCCTGGCGCCATGGCCGGAACTGCAGTGCCCCCTAGTGGGCCCTTGGCTCCCCACCTGCATTTTTTTCTTACCACTGTCTACATCTAGAGTCCTAAGGGACTGCTCCTACACTGGTCTTTTCTTACCTGCTCCCAAACCCTTCGCTGTGCAGGCCTGAGGTGGAGATACGAACATCACAGGTGAGTTTCCAGTTCCTTAGGGGAAAGAACTGGACGTGGTAGTGTCATTTATTTCCCTCGTCAGTGGGAGTTGATAGTCTGATGGGCAGGATAACTGAGGCAGAAAATGGGACCAGGCATCAACTTCTCCTTGAGATCCTCTCTTAGGAGTAACTCAAGTCATGGACAACCTTCACCATCAAAGCCCAGAGACCTACACCTCTCAACAAGAAAAACCGTGACCCTAAACCTTCACTCTCTCACTGGACCACTAAACACTGAAGCCGGTCTGCAGCCCTGCGTCCAATCCTCAACCCTGCGTCCAATCCTCTTGTTACCTACTGGTCTATGACTGCGAAGAATTTACTTAGCCTCTCTGTGGGAACTAAATCTCTGAAAAATGAGCGTGATAATCAGAAATTACCTATAGAGAGTTCAGGCTAGGATTAAATGAGCTCAGAGGTGTAGAGTGCTTTGGAACTGTGCTCCACGCTGAGTAAGCACCCTCAGAAGTTAGGGAGTATTATTACTCTTCTAGTGCAAATGGCACATACCTCTCACGCCAGCACTCCAAGCTAGTGCCTATTTCAGAGAACTTCCCAAGCTTCTGGCCCCTGGCGAAGTTAAGTGATTCATGCCCTCCCCTGGAGCTCAGGTCCCCCCTATCAATCTCCCAGGTTCCACGGGTACCTACTCCACCCTCGTGCACCATCCTGACTTCTCTTCTTGCCCCCCGCCCCTGCTTTTTTCACCCCGGGAACCCTGCTCCCTCCATTCCTGGGGCCTGCCCGCACCCGTGGCTTCCACCATGCCCTCGAGGATGACCACGATCTCGAAGTCGTCCCGCTCCAGGGCGCGGCGTGACGCCTCCCAGAAGGGGCTGGCAGCGTCGATTTCGTGGCTGATGACGAGCGGTGAGACGAGGAAGAGACGGTCGTCGCCCGTATCGAAGCCCACGCTGAGGTCGGTCTGGTGCAACGGGATGAACTCGCCTTCCAGCGTCTGGCGCGAGCGGATGAGCTTGGCACGGATGGAGGCCTCCACGATGTGCGAGGAGCGCAAGTCGCCCACGCGGAACATGAGGCACAGGCGCCCGTCGCGCAAGGATACCACGGCGTGTGAGGAGAAGACGAGCGTGGCGGCGCGCTTGTTGGGCTGCGAGATCTTGACGAACATACAGCCCACCATGAAGGCGTTCACCATGGAGCCCAGGATGGCCTGCAGCAGCAGCAGCACGATGCCCTCGGGGCACTGGTCGGTGATGACGCGGTGTCCGTAGCCGATGGTGGTCTCCGTCTCGATGGAGAAGAGGAAGGCGGCCACGAAGCCGTTGAGGTTGTTGACGCACGGCGTCCACGCGGTGTCCTCCAGGTGCTCCAGGTCGCCGCGGCCGTAGGCGATCAGCCACCAGATGGCGCCGAAGAAGAGCCAGGTGAGCGCGTAGGCGAGCACGAAGAAGAGCAGGCTGAGGCGCCACTGCAGGTCCACCAGCGTGGTGAACAGGTCGGTCAGGTAGCGGTACGTCTCACGCACGTTGCCCTGCTGCACGTTGCACCTGCCGTCCTTCTCCACGTAGCGCTGGCGCCCGCGGCGCCGGGGTGGTTCCTCCGGCCCGGGTGAGAAGGCCGCGTTCTCCTGCGCCATGGCGACGCGCGGCGACCAGCGTCAGGGCGAGTGCAGCGCGCGCCTGCAGTCCGCGGGTGGCCCCGGCGGCGTCAGGGGTCCTGGAGGGGCTTCAGAAAGGTTTGCTGAGTTAACCCGACCAGCAGAAGACCTCAGGGCAGCCCCAAGGGGCTGGGTAGTCCGGAGAGCCTCCCTTGGAGTTTCTCAGCCTCATGTCCTCACCAACAGAATGGGAATCTTGCACAGAACCTTATCAACCCTTAAACTTAAAAAACAGGATCTAATGGGATAACGTACATTAACGGTACATTAACAGTACTAGGCAAAGATGACCATTAGCTGCAGAGGAAGGAGGTGCTAGAGATCTTATCACCACTCTAGCCTGGATGTGCAGCAGTTTGTGAGCTTCCAGGAATAAAACACTCAGGCCAAGAGGCCCCTTGTGGGCAGGAGGTTAATCTTCCTCTATGATGCGGGGCCCTCCCTGGCCACAGACTTCCACCACCCTTTCTCTCGCTGTTGTCCCTGCATGCCCCCTTCCCATGACTGCACCAATTCAACCCGATGGCTCTTTTGAAGTTCATCCCAAGACCAAAACAACACCAGCTTCCCTAGATATTCTTCCCTGGGGCTACTTCTCTCCACCTCCCCCCTACGCTCTCTACAACAAACTTACCACTGATAAATTCAAGCTGCGGCAAGGAAGTGAAAACTCTCAGGGCACAAGGGTTGCAGAATCCCACAGTAGGTCCTTCTCACTGGAAATCCTGGAGGCCTCTAACCCCAATCTTTGCTGTTCTAGTGTCACCCCATTTCCTGTGGGTTCTTTCCCCAGAGAAGACAGCCTGAAAGTGGGGCTGGGGTGGGGAGGACTGGAGATGAGATCTACACTTACAGCCAAGGTGAAGGACTTATAGGGCTTGCCAAGAGTTAGGCTTGTGTCCCTCTTGTATTTTTTTCTTCATGAGATGTGAAATCAGATCAAGTGAAGCACTAGGCATCCGCCTTTATCTCCCCCCCCATCTTTCTCCATAGCCTCCTACTTCCCATTCACTATCTACCCCAATCTCACTCCCACCTGCCATATGTCCCCAAGCCCACTTTCCAAGCAAAGGCAGATTCCAAGTGAAGTCCCCCTCAAGGAGTTCTGGGAGCCAGTCTTTCCTGAAAGATGGGTTCAGAGTCCTTCCCTAGTAACCCAAGGTGCCCCAAGAGGGATGGACTACAAAGACAGGTAGTCCTACATCCTAGAATGAGGATGTAGGATTTGTCAATCTTCCTTCTTTTTCCTGGGAATTTTCCTCTCCCCCATTCTAAGGAAATTTGGGCTGGCTGTGGGTGGAGGGGGGCAGGAGTATGACATAAGGATCACAGATGGCCTGGACATTTGACCAGGCAGACATTGCCCAGATATGTAATTTCAAACTCAGCTCTCCAGATTTTAAATTCTGGAGTGAAGTACTCTGTCACCAGAGCTCAGGAGGTGTGTTTATAGAGACAGAGGGCAGGAGAAATAAAAACAGTGACCTGGAGCTTAGGGCTCTTCCCTCTCATTCACCCACACACCTTTATATTCATGCAGTCAGGAGACACAAGTTCCAGGAGCACCAGGCAGTGGCAGACCAGGGTTGGCTTCTCCCCACCAACAGGATTCCTTGTCCCTCTCTGTAGCTCAGGGTGTCTGCTAGAAGTGATCCATGAGTATTTGCTGGCATAGAGGCCCCAGGGCATGCAGCAAAAATACCCAGGACTCACTCTTGCTAGCTTTAGCCCCAGCAGCCTGCTGGACCTTCTCTCAGGGTCTTAGAGAATCTGATTTGCTTCTCTTTGCCCAGGGATGGGGCAGGGACACCAGCATCTGATCACCCCCAGAATGCTCTTGCCCCACAGATCTAGGTGATCCTTTGAATGTGTCTCATCTTTCCCGAGTGAGTGGAGAAGTATGAAACTGTTGCCTCTGTCTCAGGATCCAGGACTTGGTTTCCGCATCTTCCCTCCAATAATTGCAGTTCCCTCAGCCTACTCCTTGTTTGTGCATGCTGTGACCCCTTTTCAGAAGACCCCCAGTACCACAGTTTCCTGGATCCTTGTCCTCTCCCTGGACAGCAAGGGAGTCTTACTCTTTTTGAAGGAGGTTTAGTGAAAACTCCCCAGGTACCAGCTCCTCCCAAACCCCCACTGACTGGAAATAGGGGCCCAAACCCCAAGTCCCCACAACTCAACTCACAGTGCGTGGAGAGGAGAGTAGCTGGCAGCAGAGACCCCCGGAGGGTGGCGTCCATGCCCCTCACACTGCCCCCCCTCCACGGGCCCTGTTGGAGAGTGGCAGTCTCGGACACTGCTTTCTCCTAAATGTAGCGGCAGCTCTGACTAGGACTTGCTATCTGTGTCATCCCCACTTCCCAGGCTCCCCTGCTCCTCTCTTGTTTCCATGGCAACCAGTCTGGCGACAGCTCCACAGCATCCCCCTCCCTTCCTCAGTCCTGGGTACCACTAGGGGCTGATCCACACGCCAGAGCTATTTTTAACCAAAGTCCCTCCTCCTGGACGGCTCAGAGCTTGCCTCCTCAACCCCGCAACGAGAAGGGGAAAAACAAAAAAGGGAAAGAAAAGCAAAGCTGGCAGGCTGGTCCTTCCCTAAGAGGCTCCTTGATTTGAGGTGTGTGGGAGTAAAGTGTTTGGTTTCCTGGGAGCTCATCATCCCCAGGGGAGGTCTGTGGGTACAGGTCCTGCTTTGGGGTCATGTCCATCTTTGGAGGGGCCTCGGAGGAAGCTCGAGAGAAAAGCGACTGAGGCAGGCAGGCAAGAGAGGTAGGGTCAGGTGTCCTAATCTGTGTCACTGCCTTGTGATGTGACCCATAGGATTCCCTTTACTTCTCAAAGCCACAGTTGTTCCATCTCTCCCAGGGCGCTGGACATGTGTGAATAGTCTCTTCTTATGTACTTCACATGTGGACACATCCAATTAGGTACTAGAAATAGAAGGGCTTCAAAATGTACTTTAGTAATAGTAAAAGCTGTCCCAGATGTCCACCTAAGAGGAAAGTTTCAATTAGGGCTTATGTGCTGTTCATTCAGTAGATTTTTATGGAGCCCAAGTGCCAGGCAATGCGCAAGATGAAAATGGCTGTGGGAAGGGCAATGTCTTTGTCCACGAGGAACTCGTGATCTCCCGGGGGGGAAGACACTTGAATGTAGTGCTGTCACCAAGCTGTTCATTCCCTGAGTATCGGTATGAATGAGAGCCATACCTCATTTAGTTCCTACAACTCTCCTGCGAGCTAGGTATTAGTTTTTCATTCACAAAAGGAAAAACAAAAACTGAGAAAAGTCCAGTGCTCATCAGAAACCAAAGCTGAGCTAGATGGGAGTTCAAATCGCACATCCATGGCACTACCTCATGCTTTTCTTGTAAACTCCTTCATTTTTTAAGATCAGTTTTCAACATACAGCAAAAATTGAGAGAAAAGGACAGAGATTTCCCCCATGTTCCTTGCCCCTGCACAGGCATAGCTTCCCCCCATTACCAACATTCCCAAGACAGTGGGACGCTGGCTACAACTGATGAACCGGCACAAACAGTGCAATCACCCAGAGTACATAGGTCACACGAGGGTTCACTCTTGGGGCTGGGTGTTCCATGGTTTGGATGTATAATAATGTATACCTGCCAATACAGTATCATACGGAGTTGTTTCATTGTCTTAAAAATCATCTCTGCTCTGCTTCATCCCCTTCCTCTGCCTAACCCCTGAACACTGTTGCCGTAGTAGCTTCTCAGGATGATTCTTTCACTTATGTATTTAAGGTTCCTCCATGTCTTTTTTTTCCCTGATGCTGGGCATTGGACCCAGGACATTTGCACAGAGATACATCCCTTGCTAAGTGGCTGTGTTGCCCAGGCTGGGCTCAGATTTGCATCCTTCTGCATCATCAGCCTTCCAGAGATCTGGGATCTCAGGGGTGTGCTGCCATGCCCAGCTCCTCCATGTCTTTTTATGTCTTGATAGCTCTTTTTGAGGTTGATAGCATTCTATTGTCTGAATACACCACAAGTTTATTTGTTCTCCTACTGAAGGACATTTTGGTTACTTCCACATTTGAGTATTTATGAATAAACCTCTATAAACATCTATGTATAAGCTTTTGTGTGAACACAAGTTTTCAGTTCCTTTGCGTAAATGCCAAGAAACATGATTGCTGGATCACAGGTAAAAGTATGTGTAGTTTTGTAAGAACCTGCCAAGCTGTCTTCCAAAGTGGCTGTGATATTTTGCGCTCCTATCAGCCCTGAATTCCTGTTCCTGTTGCTCCACAGCATGCCAGAATTTGATATTCTCTCTTGGTGCTCTTTTTGCAAAGTTATGCTGCATCTGTAATGTAGTATCTGTGGCATATAGTGTAAGAGGTTACTGGAAAGATGTTATAATGGTTATGTTATATGTTTATGTGCATGGAAATACACTGCTCCATAAAAAAGTGTAAAATATTTTTGCAAACTGAATCATGACTGTATGGGAATGCCTGAAGGAACACTGGCAAAAACTTTAAAAAGCGGAGAAATAGAAATACTTTAATGTTTATTTTTCTCCAGGAAAATAATTTTTTGGTTATTGCTGGGAGTTGGACACAGGGCTTCTCATATTAGACAGCCCCGCTGCCACTGAGGTACTCAGCCCCGGAGTAATCACTTAAGGCAGAGGGAGTCATCATAAAAATGCATGGTGGTGATATTGTTATTATCAGTATTGTTATACACAAGGCGAGGACCTGTTCCTCTCCAGACCCTTTCAAGTCTGAAGAAAATATGAGCTCAGAGCAGGAAGCTGTAGAAATGGACATTCGAAGGGCAGAAATGGATGGGATGGGGTATTACGTACAAGCTTGAGAAGCCATGATTTTGGGCTCAAATGCCACGTTCGTCAATGTGCTGGGTGACTTTGAGTAAGTTATTTCCTCTCTGAACCTCAAGTTTTTCATCTAAAAATGAAAACAGCCATACTATCTGTTTCTTAAGGTTTGTCATGAGGATGGCATAAAATAGTGTCTGAGAAACTTCTCAGTAAATGTCAGCTATTATCTTCCACTGTCTTCTTCCTCCTCCTTTCCTTTATTGTCAGTCACTACTCTTGTCACACCATCATCACCATCATCATCAGTCCTCCTCATCATCATCACTACCACCAGCACCATGTGTTGTCCTAGTTGGTCCCCCACCCCCAGTCCAGGGAACTGCTGCAAGCCCCATCCTGTCCTGTTACCTTCCCTGTTCTGGCACCACCCATGAGAACCTGCAGGGGGCGCTCCCGGAACACTGCCTCCTTGCTCCAACCCCTCCTGCGTGTGTTTCTTGTTGTTCCAAGTGGAAATATCGAGTTTTCAGCCTGAGATTGGCATCAGGAGTGCTGTTAAAGCCCCAGTCAACATCCCTGTCTCCTGGGCCTGGCCCTGTCACCCGAGCCTGGGGACTGCTTACCTGCCCTTCTCTGTTGTGCCAAGTGGCTGCTCACGTTGGTTCCCCTGTGCCAGGAGCTCTGGGAGAAGAAACCAGACTCCTGGGCAAGAGTGCATTCACTTCGGGTTGGCCCCATTTGCAGAAGGGGAGAATCACAGGACCGGCAGGGCCTCCCTGAAGGTGTTCGCACCAGTCCCCACCCTAGTTTTGATTAAGTTGAATTTTGCTTCACTGACTAGGAGACCATCACTCCCTCACCTGACTGACTTACCCCACAGCTCCTAGATTTTACTTTCTATTTAGCCCCAATCCCTTGTTTATCATTGAGCTTAAAAAGAGGCAGGAGAAAAGCAAAAGTTTTCTTAGGTTCCAGGATACAGACAAATAAACAGGACTCTGGCTTTTAGGTACTGAGAGAATGAAAGCATATTTGCAAGGAATCAGTCCAAATGTATCAGTGCATCAGTGATGATGGGAAATGGGAACTGGAGAGTACGGGGGACAGGAAGGGTGTTGAGGGCCACACTGCTGCCTCCAATACAGGACCTTGGTGGAAAATAGAAAAAGAAGCCCACTCTAAGTGATGCTTTTTTTTGGTGGCACATAGTGTGGAGAGGACACAGGGCTTTCTTAAGGGTGCAGTTTCCTTCCTCCACCAGACACAGTCTAAATTAAACACAAGGACTGGCCCTGAGCCTGCTGCATCAGCAGCTGCCTTGCAGGAAGCCCTAGGGTCAGGCAATGTGGGGAGGATTCTTTGAGCAAGATCATGAGACTTTTTGGGCAGAAGCTTGGCAGTAGGAAAGGAAGCATGAAGGGGAAGATAGGAGATGCTGAGAGTGTGAGTTCAATGGAGGGAACTCCAATTGGCAAGGAAACCAATCTAGTAGATTCTAGAGGGGGTACTAGGAAACTCTGGGTGAAAAAAAAGGTATGGTTGAAAGATGGATATAGCAGCTGGAGAGAAGTGGAGCACAACTCCAGGACAGATAGTGCCCTGACTGGGCTCCTGAGGCTGAAACCCTTGTTGGTATAAAAAGATTGCCTAAGGTCATGGTGTCCCATGTCACTTACAAAAGAACAAAGTCATTCTCTTCCTTCAGGACCTACTTCTGTTTGTATTATTGTTCAACTATGAAGTATCCCTCAAAGACTCACCTGTTGGAGATTTGAACCCTAAGGCAACACTGTTCAGATCCGATCTGCAGAGGTGATGGGATGGGGAGGGTGCTGACCTGATAGATGGACTGATCCATTGATGAACCCATAGTTGAATGGGTTACTCGGAAGTGGGGTCCAATTGGAGAAAGTGGAAGTCCCTGTGGAGCAGGCTCTTGGAGGGTGTGTCTTATCCCGGGCCTGCTCCCCTGTCCTCCCCTCCCCTCTCTCTTTCTTCCTCCCATCCACCACGATGTGAGTCACTTTGTTCCTTGCCATGATGTTCTGCTTCGCCGCAGGCCCAGAAGCAATGGAGTAGAGTGACCATGGACTGAAACCTCTGAAACAGTGACCCAAAGTAAACTTTTCCTCCTTTAAGTGTTTTTCTCAGGCATTTTGTCACTGCAACGGAAAGTTGACTAACACAGTTTAGCAAGTTGTGTCTTCATTCATTGCTTTTTTGAACTTACTCCTTCCACCTTTGGCCTTGTATATTCCTTCCTTCCTTCGTAATTATGGGGTTAGGATCCACTCAGAGCCCAGGAGAAGCAAAGAGAGAACTGCTGTCAGAGAAGGTGAACCCATGAGTGGGCAGTGAAGTGAGGAGCTCTTGCTGGGACAGCAGGTGTGGAGAGAGGGGCTCAGGGAAGCTTTGGAGGCGTGATGGAAACTCAGAATAGTAGACGCTTACCAAGATGGAGGGAGTGGCTGGAAAGAATAGAGTCATGGACAAATCTCCCCACAGGAGTCCAAGGAACTCCACGATGCTTAGCAAATACCATTAGTAGTGGGCTACCTAGTATCAGGCTACAGAGAAAAGCCCCAAGTGACAGACTGACTCTGGTCACCCTGCCCTTCTATTTCCAGTAGAGCCAAGAAGATCAGATGGCTTCGCACATTTGGGTCTGTTTTCCTTTATAGAACTGGGTAGAGATAGGTGAAGATTTAAGCGTCATTTGACATTTAAGGGTGGTCCAGGAGTCACCCTCACTTTCCAGGTGAGAAATGGGACTCAGACTATGCCCATCCGACACCAGGCCTTGGGTCATTTCCTAATTTCCTATTGTAGAGAACTTCTCAGAGACATTTTCTTCAAAGTATCCCTTTCTGCTTCTGCCCTTTGATCCTTTCTTCTCTTCTCTCTCAGAGGAGTACCTTTAGTGTTGAGCAAAAAATGTGGACTGCAACCTATATGTGACCTGATTGAGGTTTTGATTTCAGGACACAGGGATTGATATAATGAGAGCGTGTCACGTTTTTCCTTGACTAGAGAAAGGGATGCTAGGTCAGTGAGGTTCTGGGCTGATAGTGGTTTGCCTGATCTGGAACGGAGTCAAGGAAGTGAAAAAAGACATCCTAGAGAGATGCTACTAAGGCAGACTTAATAGAATTTGGTGCCTTAATTGGGAAGCCAAAGGATGGGGGCATAGGACAAGGTTGAAGAATACATATTTAGTTTTCTAGTCTGTGACCAAGAGTAATACAGAAAGAAGGAAGTCAAACGCATTCGCTGTCACAAGCATTGCGAGCTTCAAGAAGAAAGATGATGAGTTTTGTTTGTGTCCAGTGAGGGTGGAAACTCCCTGTTGGTATCTATGACCATGGAGGTGAGGTTGAAGGTAGCAATGAGGGCATCATTCAGAGCCACTATGTAAGTGACGAAGGCTCGAGCAAAGCACAGAAAGGGAACACAAGATTGAATCATGGGTGTTGGAGAGAGATCAATAGCAAAAAGTAAGGGAGCAATGGTGCCAGCTCTAGGTTATAATGGGCCTGGTTTTTAAACTGGGAAGTGACATGGTTAGATTTGTGTTTCAGAGAGATATTCATCGTTGCTATTTAATTATCTTTACATAAAGGAATTCATGACCTGAAGGAAGAGACAGACCGAGGTAGGACAGTCAGTGAGAAGGCTGTTACTGAAACCCTGGTGGTGGTGCTGGGGTTTCAGGTTGCCATAGTGGTAATGACATAGAGAGGAAGGAGGGAGTAATAAGGTGATTTAGAAAGTAGACGCATTGCCCTGTGTGGTGGCACACCTAGCTGCTCAGGGATTGAAGTAGAAGCAACTGGGCCACTTGGCGAGTGCCAGTCTGAAAATGAAAAGGGCTGGTGACACTACCCAGTGATAGAACTCTTGCCTAGCATATGTGAAGCCTTGGGTCGCCCAATACCCCTCACAAGATGCATTAGTAGATAAGGGAGATAAGCTAAAGATGAATAAAGAGTCAGGGTGGCTGCCCTGTTTATAGTGGCTGGAGATACACATGGGTGGTAATTGGAGCCAAATGCTTGGGTAACATTTTTGTAAAAATAATAAATCCACAATAAAGGTTAGTGATTCTGTAAGTCTTCAGAGCTCTTTGGTTTCTCTTCTTCTCTTTATTTTGTAGGAATTCCAGAGCTTCTAAATCCTTCCCAACTCTGACTGTCAGGGCTGTAGGATCTGTGGTTGTCCAGTTCCTGGCACCTTTAAGCTCCTACAGCAGCATCGCAGGGCAGCTTTAGACCGCCTCATCACAGGGAATCAGGAGTTTGAAGGGTTGAGAGACAGTTTCCAGCACATTGTTCTAGCTTTGATTGTGTATCTCTCCTTTCCAAATAAAGTTCTCAAAGGCATAGCCGGTACTCGCTAACATTTCTCCACTTTAGAAAGGTAACACCTTGTAATCCAGTTCCTATCATGTTCATGCTTCTGAAGCAGCTCTCACAGGTCACCAGTGACTTTCTTATTCTCAAAGCCAATGCCTCTGTACCTGGGGACACTGTTACAATCCCCTCAACATCATCCCTTCTTTGGATTTTGGGACATCCCACTCTCCTGCCTCCTTCCTGCCTGTCTGTAGACTCTCTGTGGCTCTTTGTGGGCCCTTCTCCTCTTATCCCTGAGGTGCCCTTCCTTGAGGTTATCTTTCTGTGCACATCACTTTTGTGGGGGCTTCCTTTATCTCATTACTTCAATCTATCCTGCCCTGACAGAAAGTGTCTCTTTCTCTCTCTCTAGTTCTACCCCTTGGTATACCTCCAAGCTCTGAACTCAACCATCTCTTCTCCCCTCTCAGTTGTTTCATTGGTTGTCCCTACCCTGGGTTTCTCTAAATGATCACTAATGATCTTATATCTAGCATCCCTGATTGCTAGATTTTAGACCTTGGTATGATTTCTGAAGCATCTTTCTTTGACTCATCATGTCAAGTGGGTCCCTTGACGTGGGTTTTGTTTGTCTGTTTTCTTTTGACTTTTCTGTACTGCAATTTATTCTCTCCATTCCATCTTTCACTCACACCATGTTGGTTTGAGCTCTTATCTCCTCGTGCCTGCATTATTGCAATTATTTTCTGTTTCATCTACTTGCCTATCATTTCCCCGTGATTCAAATCAGCTTGCTCATCTCAAGATTAACCTTCGTAAGCCTCTGCATGGTGTGTGTTGTCTCCCCGCTGCTCAAGAAATTCCAGTAGCTGCCACGGCCTGCAAAACTCTGAGCAGCCACGTGAAGGCTCTGTATTTTTTGTCTTTCCCTCAGCAAAAAAGCTATGCTTCTGGGCCTAACCTTTAGCCTAGTCCTCTCCTTTTCCCTAAACAGGGCTTTCCGAAAACATTTTTTCCATCTGGGTTTCTAGAGGTGATGCTAAACTAAAATTTCTATCTTTTGTCTTTTTGTCTCTGGATTTGCATCGACTCAATATGGTAACACTGGTTATTGATTAGTAATTAAACGGCTATGATGGACAAAACCCGGGAAATAATTATTTTTTTCTTTAATAAATGCCAAGAGAGAAGATCATGGATTGAAAACCTTTCAAAACACAAATTCAGGTAATGACAGAAGCCCTTGAAGATGAGAAGGTTGAGAACCACCGCGCTGTACTCTAGTCCAATCCTGTTCTGAAGCAGACTTGTATTTTCACGTCCCTTCGGGGCCATGTTTATGTTTACTCTCTGCCACCAGTGTCCTCCCCACTGGCCTCCAGGGCCTGAAGCCCCTGCCTCCTTTGGGACTTTAGGCAGATACATCTCCTTCCTCCCACATCTGAGGGGAGCCCCTTTGGCCTTTGCTCGCTCCCACACTTTGTCCCAGCTCCAGCCTTAAGCTCCTTGTTAGACGAAGCCCCTGCAGGTGGAGATGATGTTCTGCGCATTTCGCACATAGCACCACACTGGCCGCTTGGGAAGCCGTGGATAATAGGCAAATTGTGCCGGACGCAGGCGCCCAGCCCAGTCTGCCCCCATCTCCTCCCAGGCGCAGCCCGCAGGGCCAGTGGACCCGACCTGAATTCATTTCCACCTCATTAACTCGCCCCCGCCCCGCCCCTGCAGCTCCCGCTTTCTCTCCTCGTCTCTGACCCCTCCGCCTCGCTTTTCTTCCTTCTCTCTTTCCCTGTCATCTTGCCAGCTCGACTTCTATCGCTCTGCGTATCGTCTCTCCGTCTCTTTCTCCCTGACCGTCTGGGTCTCCGCCTTCGGGTGTTTCTGCGCCTCCATCCGTCTAAGGCTCCGCTTCCTCGCCCACGCCCCGCCCCCTGCTCAAGCCTGTCCAATCGCGGCTGCCGATCTGGCGCTCCACTCTCCCATTGGTCAGTCCGAAGCCCCCCGCCCCCGCCGCCCGGCCCCCTTCGGGCCCCTCCATTCACACAAAGTTTGGCTCCAGCGCTGCAGAGGGAGGGGGCGGCCCGGCCCGGCCAAGCTCTGCCCCCGCCGGCCCGACCCCGGCCCCATCCCAGGACAAGCCCTTATCTGATCCAGGTTCAGGGCTTAAAAGTCCTGGTCCTGTCCGTCGCGCGGCTCTGCTCCTCACTCTTGCCCGCCCCGTCCGTCATCTGTCCTGCTGGCCCGTCCGAGGGGCCACTGTACCTGGGACACAAGGTAAGAACTGGCTCTGATGAAGCGCTGCTGCCCTGGTCGGGTTCCTGCCTCTTAATTCTCCAGGAACATCAGGGTCCCCAGCTCCTTGGTCCTTACTCCTGATGGCCTCAGCGCTACCATTCTGTGCCCCTTCTCCTACCTGGGCCAGTTTTAAGGAGACCGTCCTGGAAAGGGCTCTCCACGAGGGCTACTCTATCAGGCAGGGTCACCTTGCCCCTTTAATCTAAAGGAAGGCGCTTTCCCGATGCCCACCCCCCCTCGGCACACCTGCTATTTCAGTTACTACAGTGACTGCCGTGCTTAACTATGTATCCCCTACCTAGGCACACAGGCAGCAAGTGCCTCCTCCTCCCAACATGGACAGGTCACTTCCCTGGTCAGCTCCCCACCACCCATCACAGTGACACTCAGATGGTGATGACACCCACAACCACCAGTTCACTTCTGCGGAGACAAACACAGATTAGATGAGGGAGACACAGCTGTCTGGTGTGTCCAGGTGGCTCCCTGGCCATCTCTTTCCTTTTTTAACTTGGCTTCCACTTCAGGAGACCTCTCACTATTACCCCCCCGCCCCCATCCCAGATGTTTTGCAGGGAGAATCTCAGGAGAAAAGGAACGGGGCTGCTGTTTCTGGAGCTAGGGGGCAGACTGGTATCCATAAATTCATCTTCTGAACACAGTGACCCCTTCTCATTCTGTCCTTTCCCTGACCTCTGCCGTGAGGCCCCAACCAAGGGCACCTGAGTTAGAAAATAACTGAAGGCTGCAAATCCCTGATTTGAGGGGAGGACAACTGAACCCCAGCATGGGTAGAAGGCAGAACCTGAGAGAAAACAGCACTGGGGCCTCTGGTATCTTGAGATTTCATCCTAGTAAATGAAGGCCCCTTGGCAGGTGGAGGCAGTGGGGAAGTAGGGGTGGTGAAAAGGCCAGACACATTTGGCTCCAAAGGGAAACTGGAGCCTCCAGCCTCACCAGGTCACTGATCAATACTCATTCTTACGCATAACTTTGGGCCAATCTGCCCTTGCCCAGGCGTTTGAATTTTTCTGCTTCTTAGGACTGTTTTAGGTAGTCTGGGTGGGAGAGATCTGATGCCCTCCTCTTAGGGAGGGGTGTTGAGGAGGAAGGGCACGGAGTGGGTGTTAAGATACCAGCCCCAGGGGAGGCTGGCAGCCACCACCAAGTTCACTTTAGTTTCAGCCTAAACCTCACTTGCTGATCTCCAGGGAGTTTTGAACATGTTCCTGGCATGATGGTGGGCACTGTCCTGTGCCAAGCACAGGGCTTGTTAATTCCTGAGGGTGTAGACTGGGTATGGGGGACCAAGTCGAGGAGAAGCCAGGTGTCTTGGCTCAGGGCAGGTCCTTCAGGGAAGAGAACAGGGGGCACAGAGTGAGGAAAGCGTCATGCCAAGGAGAGGGTCCAGGCTGTATTCTGGAGGCATAGGCATGGTCCAGGCAGTGCCAACTCTACCCTCACCCCATCCTTTGGTGGTGGTGGTGAGGGAGGGAGGAAAAGAGGGGGAGTCTGTGGGTGATCTGGGCCAGTCCAGCCTCCCAAAGCCCTTGCCAACCTGGGCCCTGAAAGGAGCTGCTGTTTTCTAAGCCATTCCCCACCCCCCCACCCAAGGCCCAGAGCAGCCAAGTTGTCTCAGCGGATATCAAATGGCAATGACTCTACTGACTGTTGGGGTGGGGGTGGGAGTGGGAGAGGCAGGGGGTGCGGGCTTACGGTCCATTCCTTCTGCAGCACTGATGCAGAATCCCACTGCTGCCTCCTACCCCGCTGAGAAAAGGTTTTGTCTAACCACATCTGCCCCACCTCCAGTCTGTGGGTGTGTACATTTGTGGCAAGGAGTTAACTGCCTGCCCACTGACATCCCCCACCTCCCCTGTGCGGGGGGGGGGGGCACCTGTGCCACTCTGCCTATGCTCACTTTGTTGACTTGGATTAGTAGGAAGTGTCAGGCAGAAGACTTGGGGTCTTTCCTTTGCTTGTCCTTCCTAGGAACCAGAGATGCTGGCATACTTACCGGGTGGGCTCAGTCAAATTTTTCTGGGGTCATCCTGAGGTCGGTAGGTAACGGGTCAGGACTTTGGGGATAGATCATGCAGCAAGACCCATTTCTGAGTAGAGATCCTTGGGTCCTCTGGCAAAATGCTTGGCTACTGCATATGAGATGTGAAGACAGATTGAGGTCCCTAGCACTGGTGTTGGGGGAGTCACTGGGTGATGGAGCCTCTAAACTGTTCTGTCGAAGATTATTTAATACAGAAGGAAAAAACCCTTTATTCACAGCCTAGATTCTTCTCTTGCCTGACTGGCCAGTGCTACTGTCCATGGTGAGGTCAAGCTGTCCAGGACTCTAGTGAGGCCCTGGCAGGGGACAGACAGAAGGGAGAACACAAGGACCACCACTGAACTACAGCTGCAGGAAGACTGGAGAGAAAGGGGAGGTTTGGAATCCAGAGGTTTTAGCACCCAGTGAAGGGTGGTTGGCTGGGCAGCTCCTAAGTCCTGTGGCCTCAGTCTTTCCTGCAGGCTGAGTCCAATGCTTTGCTCCCTTTGTCTGCATTTAGCCTCCGTGTTGTCACCCTGTGGCAGGTAAATGCTGGTTTTACTACTTGATAACCGTGCAAGTCTCCTCATCTCCACAGTGAGGCCAACAATAAGTGTGAGAATTAAAAGAGTCAATATTTGTAAAAGGGCTTAGAAGTTTTAGCAAGAAAGAAGTGCCATTCTTGGAACATAAGGTCCCCTCCCGTGGGTGTCTGCCAGCCTGGAGCCTGGATTTGAGGTGGTGGGGAAGGGGAGGAGCTGGTTCTGGAATGTGGGAGAGAAGTCCGTGCTGAGCTGTGTGACCTGTAGAAAGAGGTGGGGGAGTGGGGCTCAGGAGGACTGAGTTAGCACTTCAGGCACCCACAAAGATCTAACACAGGAAGGGGCCCATCTGGTCCTTCTACAGGCTCTTTCAGCGACAGAAAGGGTTCTGGGGAAAGGGCTATAGCTGGAAGGATACAAGTTAGGTCTTAGAAAGAAAATCCCATGAAATGAAGGACTTTTGAAATGAAGGTTGGAACAGAAAGGTAAACAAACTTCTTGGAAGGTAGGGGAGGTAAAACAACCAAGACAACCCCTGAATAACCCTCTAACCGAAAAAGTCCATCTTTAAGGCTTCTGAGAAGTGCTGAGAGGCCCAGAGGTGCAGGGATTATTGTAACAATGGTCAAGGGGCCTCATGTGGATGACTGGTGTGACGCCCCCTTGCTGTCCAGGGCCCCCTTTCCCCTCTCTCGGAGAGACAGTATTTAAGAAGTGCAAGGAGATGGAGTTGGACTTCCTGGGTTTTCGTCCTGGCTTTACCACTTGTGGCCACACAGGGCTCCTCAGTCTTCACAATGGGCTAACAATGGCTGTGAGAATTAGAAGAGTCAATATTTGTAAAGAGTAGACAGTTTAGCAAGTCAGAAGCCACTTGTTAGCTGACAGGGTCCTCCCACCTCTCTGACCCCTTCATCTTTCTTGGCAGCTGAGCCTGTCCCTGTCCTTCTGAGGTGGCTTTTGGAGATCCGGAGATTCTATCCCAGGTCTCAGTTCTTTACCTCCTTGGAGTTTGGGAAGGTGGATGAATTGAGGTTTTCACTTTACTCCCACTGCCTGGTTGTCTCCAGAGCCTCTTTTCCCCACGAGCTTTTCCAGAGGATGTTCTTCAATTCAGATTCCGTGAAGGTGAATGAGGCAGCTGGGCACCCCACAGTAGTCTGTCTCCCTGATCCTCAGCAGCTTCCATCTTGGAAGATATCAGCTTCTGTCCATCTCCACGTTACCCCCGCGCTTTCTGGAAAGCCCACTTTTCTCCCCTTCTTTCTGCTTGTCCCCTTTTCTGCCCTGATTTGCCTCCACTTCTCTCAGTTTACATGCCCTCCTCCTCAGGCCTCTGATCAACCTGTCAATTCCACAAGCTCGGTTGCCCTTGGTAACCTATTGGTGGTCTCCCTGACTACAGCCTCTCTCTCCTTGACTCCTTTCCTTTGTCGTTGGCATTATTACTAGAATTACTGTCACAAAACACCAGGTCTCTCCTGCTCCCTTCCAGTCACGAACTTCCAGAGGCCTTATGCTTTCTGCCCTCCTTTCCAGCATCTCTCGGGACTATGTCTTTAGACTCTGTCTGGGGGCCATGGCCAAGTGTAATCTCTGAGCTGTGCTTTTCTTTTCACTCTAGACAGTGCCCCCAAGGCCACTCCAAGTCCCTTCTTTCCTGCCAACCACCATTCTGTTTCTTCTCTGCCATCTTGCTTTTTCCTTTCCTGAGTTTGCCAGGATGCCCATACATGGTAATGTTGGAGGAGACCCCCTCTTTACCTTGGGGGTCCACTAGGGGAGGGCCTATGTCCCATCCGGGGAGACTCCCTGAAATAAAGGCATCTCTTCTTTTCCTGAAGCCCTTGACACCCAGCAAAGAGCTTGGCTCCTTGGCTGCAGAGTGGCCACTGTCCAGCTGGACTCTAGGTAGGACCCATAGGAATCCTGCAGTAAGGTATGTAGCAGACCCCAATACCCAGCTCTCGAGGAAGCTTCAAGAGAGACACTTCTCCTATCTTCTGCCTCATCCTGTGGCAAAAGCTTCACCTTAAGATGACCAGCAGTAGAGGGGTCCCATGGAGCCACTCTGCCATCGCCAGGGAGGTCTGATGCCAGCCCAGTGCCAGGCTTGCCAGCTGTTGTCCAGAGTCAAAATAGGGAGAAAAGGTCAGAGTCTAGTCTATGACAATCCACTGTCCTGGGCATACCTCTGAAGAGGGCCTGGTGAGGTGGGGACCCCCGCCAGTGGGGTGTAGGCCTGGTCTCTTCGTGTTATGCTCTCCTGGGCTCGCTAGGTCAGTTCTGCCTAGTTACCTTCCTCACTTTCTAGCTCCAGGCACACATCCTCTCCCCATGCAGACCTGCTGGCTGATGGCATGATAAAAAGTCACAGGCAGCTGCTGAGAGCA